AATCTAACTATCGAGCAAATTTGTCTGATGATCACTTGAAATCAATTCTTACAATTGGCTCATCTAATCTGGAACCCGATTTTAATGAAATTTTGAAGTCAAAACGACAGTATCATTCGTCACACTAATTTGGTTGCATAAAACTAAAGGCAGGAATCTATTTAGTTTACCCTGATTTTTTCCAAAAAGATATGTTTTAATTTTTCCATGTTTATACTTTAATATTTGAGGAAATTAAATTACTGGCACTGATTTGTTTTTTGTTTTTTTTTCATTTTTTATTCCTCCGGCCCGTATAAATATGGGAAATATATAATGTGGCGCTTACATTGAAAAGTTTGGAGACCCCTGCCTTAGAAGGTGGGTCGATGACAATGCCCTCTGTTGAGGGAGGTGACGATGTCAACGCAATCTACTGAGTGCACCCGACCACATTTTCTGTTCCTCGGTGGAAAGCTGCCATCATATTTGATCCCTGTGTAGTTACTGTGTTGCTAATGACATTTATGTCCGCAGAAGTGATAAAGAGGGTATCTTGGGCACCAAGAGTTAGTTCCATCAGGGCAGTCCTGAATCCAAGATGTGTTCCAGTGGGAACAAGTGGCCGCATCAGTATAGACAGTGCTTTGTCTAATACTTGTGAAGTATTAGTGGTTGGACCGACTTACCCAGGGATAGGCCAAGTTGAGTTACAATGTATGTTTGGTTATAGGCACATACACAGGTGTAGATGTGTATGTGTCTGGTTATAGACATATACGTACCAACACATACGGGTGACAAATGTTAATGGCTGGACACAACCATGGAGAGTACCAAGGTCAGTCTTGGGGCAATTCTGCTTAATATATACATTGTCGGTTTATTTAGCTCAGAATAGTTGGGCAATGAATGTTCTGTCTAGATAAGTCATTAGGGCACATGGCAACACCACCCACAAGAGTAAGTCTTGATTAAATTTACTATTATATGCTACAATTGAGGTATATCTGTTCTTGCTAGATGTTACGTTGCAACGTTCCCCCAAGTACATTGTGAGCAAGCCACAAGTTGAGCCGTACCGTCCCACAACCAATGGGATATATAATTTATAACTAACCCATAGTAGTGTTATATAACCCATTAGTAAGTAAAGCTACTGTTTAATTACAGCAAAATTAAAATATGAAACCCCCCTAAATGTGTGAAGGGAAGTTTACTGTTGATAATAAATTTAAAAAATACAGTCCACTCATCAGTAATAAATACAATTTAATATAATCTCTTGAATTAATAATCAAATCAATCAATGGTAGATATCCCCACATATTTTATGGTCACTGAAACCAGATGAACCAGAAATAGCATGTAGATAGCTCGTGCTGCTTGGAACTTTTTGTTCTGAGTAACTGAATCTAAAACAACAACAAAAACAGTTCATCATATTCAGAAATTATTCGTTATTGAACCATATATATGGTACTTTGAACCATAGATGGATTCTTAATGGTCCTACAATTCTAGATCACTGTTGGTCTATCAAATTAAGTAAACCAGTGCATTAAATCGATCAATAATATATTAAAACACACACCACCAGTCAAAGACGGGTCAGTAGCCTAGCCTCTCAACAGTTTCACGGAATACATCCACCAAATTCGTGCAGTGTTATATCTGCGCAGTATAACCGCATAAATTAAATCCGACTAAATTGTGGTTACCTTTCCATGGAGTTTATCTATACTAAATTTGTGGTGTTTAATTTTGTGAAGGTCACTAATAAAATATTATATACACAAGAGGTTAATGAGAGGCCACCAACACCAATTGTGTGCAGTATTTAATTTCTCTTGTTTAGAGAAATATTTAACATAAGCTAAAATCCCAATTAAAATATATTGGACTTTGTCTCCACTGCCCAACATAAATTTCTAGTAGCTAGTTGCCAACCTGCTTTAGGGTAGGATGTTACCATTGACTAGTGTTGAACTAAATATTGATCAACCTAGTCCAATTTATATTACTACTAGCTATACCAGGCCACACGTTGCTGTGGCTCAGAAATGAAGAAAGAAAAAAGAGCGCACATTTCTAATATGTTTAATTTCACAATGTTTGTGGGTATACAATATTTGTTGTTGTTTCATTGTCTGTGTACATATAGAGATTGTCTGGTTTGCCGACTCCAGATCTCCCGACCCTCCCCCGTGCTACCCTCCGTTTCCCCACTCCCCCATCCCCTCGTCCTCCTAACTCTTCCCCATCCCATCGTCCTCTCCACCATTCCCCCCTTCCCCGTCCCCTCATCCTGCCCCCCCCCCCCCCCCCGCGTCCCCTAACCCATCCAATTTGTTTTCCCTTCTATCCCCCACTCCCCTTTTCCCACATCCTCCCCCACCATTCCCCACTCCCTCGTCTTCCACACTCCCCCATCCCCTCATCCTCCCCACCATCGCCCACTCCCCCAGCCCACTCATCCTCCCCACCATTGCCCACTCCCCTGCCTGATGCATTCTCATCAGAAACATTGGAACATCAATTGCTCTGATGTTCCAATCTCTGAAAAATACAAAGAACGGTTAAAAAAAAGAAATGAAAAAATAAAATAATAAACTATACTCATTAAATGAACGGTATGGTAAGCTGCACAGCTCGATTTCAATGCAATGTCACACAACATAATTAAATCAAAATGAAAATAAATCGAAATATATGAAAATTCAATTTAACAATTCAATTGGAAACATCGAAATGAGATCGTAAAATATTTAGTATAGCGTGTTGCTTTTACGTCCAACAGATGGCAATGTTATTAAAAAAAAAGCATGTATTTAGCTGTCACAGACATGACATCTATATAGAAGATATATAAAACCATGCGCATATGTTACGGCCCTACTGGGACGCAACCGGGTTCTTCTCTGATGGTAGTAGAGTTTGGGAATCCGGCCCCAAGTTAGTAGAGGCTTTCAAGGGGTGTGTTCTGTAACGCAAGTTAAATTAAAGGGGGAGGGATACAAATGTTTCAGTTTTTCTTATATATTTACCATCACCATATATAAATATATAACAGTCGCACGCGGGGATTATTACTACACTTGTGTACAGTTGCGTCTTCCTCCGAAGACACTGGATGCTCAACGATGCTCACTCTGGGTAGCCCTGGTTCCTTCTTCCGTGGCCCACGATGAATCCAATATGACTATGACGAATCTACCCTGGCCACAGGCCAGCCAAATCACAGTCCCATTGGGTGCTTCGACGTGGAGGCCTTCAACCACAATCCAGCCTGTAGCTGGCAGGTTCCGATCAGCCTCGCTGTTTAGGCCACTCCACGACCAATACTAGGGTTGCGAGCCCTAGGCAGGAGCCTCATGTCACCCGCTGATCACTCTCACTAAGCACCACAGTGGCTAGTCTCTTCCACCAGCCAGCCCCGGATAAGGCGATTCCCGACACTGCCACGCCACAGGCAGGCTAATACTCTCAACAGAGTTCGTCCGGGGGTGGCTCACAGCTTCTTCAAAGCAGACTCGTGAACAGACCTTGGCTGCCTTGGGTAGACTGGTCAATCGTCCAACACAGCAGTCCCAGGTCGACTCTGCAATCAGACACGTCATTAATACTGGGACGCTTCACTCACAAGCTTAGACAGAAACGTCCACCTCTTCACTCCATAGATGGCGTTCACTGTCTAAGCACCACCTCACCAGAGGTCAGCAGCGGCTACGTCATGAGCTGACTAGGACAGGAATCCAACACTTATTGCTGGCCTATCCTGTCACCACTAGATGGCGTCGTCCATTTGGAGTGGGTTTCAGGAGTGGACTCACAGATGGCGTTGTCATCGCCGCTCTGTGCTCCGACGCTGGACTCGGGTCCGTAACAGCATATTTGAATGCAATGTTGTGTCAAAATTTCTAAGCAATCTGTGGAGAACTTTTGGAGATTTCCATCACATGAAAAACAGTGTGTGTTGCATTTTACATTCATCAGATGGCGCTGTTTTTTTTAAAGTATGTTTTTACCTGTCACGGAAGTGACATCCAAATAGTAGGTATATAAAAACGCACGCATTTTCGAATGCAACGTTGTCACAATTTCAAAGCAATCTGTAAGAAGTTTCGAAGAAGAGCTTTCAGAGATTTCCCTCACATGGAAAAAGTTAATAAAAAAGTCTTTGCCTGTCAGACATGACATCTATATATTAGGTATATAAAAACATGTACGTATTCGAATGGAACGCTGTGTAAAAATTTCAAAGCAATCTGTAAAGAACTTTTGGAAGCATGCAAAAAGATTTGCATGCAAATCTTGATCTTTGAACTTCGCGGAATTTTAGTTTTGAACAAACGAACATTTACATTTTTATTTATATAGATTGACTAGTGCTGAACTAAATCAACTTAGTCTCATTTACATTATTATATCCTAGTGTTGTATTAAGTATTAAACAACCTAGCACTATTAATTAATTGTGCAGACCCTTATATAGGGTCACGGGGAAGACATCTCCCGTCACGCAGGGTGCAGTCGCACCTCCTCAGATGTCCAGTATCGGCTAATGATACTGGTAATGGCTCAAAAGGGCCACCACTTACGGGCTATTCATGCTCGTGCCATCTTTTGGGTGTCTTAATCTTTATCAATCTTATATAGGGTGGAACCAATACCAGCACAAGTTATGTATCTATAATTATTTGCTTATATGTTTACCTATAATCATTTCACTGTTGAGTGATAATGAGTGTTTCTGTACTAACCAAGGGCCATAAGGAAGGGCTACCCTGAGGAATTCCCACAGTGACATTGGTTACCTCTCAAAGTATTTGTGTGTGATTATATATATATTTATTAGTATTTTAATGTGCTAACCTTCATGGAGGTAGGATTTTAGCCTAGTGATAGAAAATCTGACCTTAGGCTACTATCAATAGTACTTGCTCAGGATAATGAGCAAGTACCCTAGTTACATTAGAAATAATATTATAAACCCTGTATATTCCAACTAAGTAGCCAGCATGGCTGATCTAGAAAAAACTGAAAAACCTCTAACAGGACCCAAGGGTCACTTAGGACAGATTAATAAATGCTTTGATCTGTCACAACAATCTCCAGTTGATAATGTTGAACTAGAAACCAAATTTCGAGTAGCAACAGGTAAATTTGAGGAAGTCAAATGCCAGATAGAAAAGTATTTGGCTGAACTGGAACAATATGAGGGTGATACTCAAGCCAAGTTAGATCCTTTCATCAAATTAATTGCCCAGAGTAAGGCAACAACAACTACAACTTCCCCTAACACTACTCAACCAGAAGTTAAACTGCCTTTACTGCTACTTTTACTGCAACTGTTAAACTGCAAGATAACCTCAAGATAGCCTTCAATCAGTTTACCAACATTCTCTGGAACAGAGAATGAAAGTTGGAACAACATCTGGACTAAATTTTTCGACTTTGTGGATTCTAAACCCACCAAATTCACATACCTCCAGGATCAACTTAAGGGTGAAGCTGAAAATGGGGGGTAACAAATTTAACCCTAAATAATGATGGCTACGATCTCGCAGTTCAGCTCCTTAGGGATAATTATGCTAACAGAGTGAGCTGGCACTCTTTTAGTTTAAAAAATATGGACTTGCATCCAACTAATGAAACCACTGACTCACTCCATGCCTTCAGATTGGAGCTTGAGTCATTACTTGAAACACTCGGTCTTGAGGTTGATATAAATAGTGCTGAGTGGTTGACTAAAGTTATCATACGACACAAATTACCCAGTGAAACACAGGATAGGTTGTGTTCCTGTATAACAAATCTTTTCTGACAGTCCAGGAAATTATGAAAGGTTTATGCTCTGTTGTAGAAAGATATCAAGCAAATACAGGTGGTAAACCAACCACTAAACCTTCGTTATCTTGAGTCGATTTCGGGGCTTTAGTGTCCCCGCGGCCGGTCCTTGACCAGGCCTCCAACCCCAGGAAGCAGCCCGTGACAGCTGACTAACTCCCAGGTACCTATTTACTGCTAGGTAACGGGGGCATAGGGTGAAAGAAACTCTGCCCATCGTTTCTCGCTGGCGCCTGGGATCGAACCCGGGACCACAGGATCACAAGTCCAGTGTGCTGTCCACTCGGCCGACCAGCTCCAGTTCGTTAACAACCCATAACAAACAATCAAAGGGTACTTTAAGTTCTCCAATAAAATCTAAACCACCTACCTCCACTTCAAGGTGGAAATATGGCAATATGGGCACATGCATTGGGTCCCCTCAAAACCTAGTCACTGTGTTACCCAAGGTACTGGAGGACATGTTAGTTCTGTAATGCAGAATATTCCATATACCACTGCCCAAATTACCCTGAATGAATTACAAGTGTAAAGCGACTCATGGAGTTAGTAGGTATATAAATGCAATAAACACAAATGTAACAGGTGCTTCAAGTCACATGACATCAATACCTGTATTGATGTCATGTGCTTCTGTGTCTTAGTGTCACCAAGGATTAAAGGTTTAAGTACTTGTCACCGCAGTGCTTGTTGTATTCCAAGATGCTGCCTGTTTTGGCTGTGTTTTGCCTGTGTTTGGCTACGCTCGTCCAGGGCAACTCGAGCATTCAGGTGAGTTTTTCATTATTTATCTCGTGGTAATTTCTTCGTGATTTACGCCATTAATAGTGTCTATTGGTTTTGAATTTTAAGTGTCATTCTTTCAACAGCATAAGGCATTATTTATGTGAAACAATATTAAAACCATACTGAAGTTTAGTTTTCTTTTTCGAGAGTAGTAGGAATCCATCAGTCTCAGCAGACATATATTTCCATATAAATTGATTAAAGTTTCTTTTATATGAAAACCTTTGGGATTTGTCTAATGGTATCTAACAGTAGATAGGTACCCGAGAAATCGGGAACTGTGGTGGGTTGTGGCACATATTGCCACAAAAATGTAAAGGTTTTATCTAACATGTTGTTTGTGGACAGATGTGGAGTGTTGACGTATTAAAAAATAACGAAGTGATCCGTGAACTAGAAAACTGCGGGTACTTCGATATTTGGGGCGACAATACAACCCACGCCCAGGTAAGTGAACTGTTTGTTGTCATAAAACTTTCTTGCGTGACCACCCCCCCCCCATAGTCTGGCTGGTTGTCTCAGTGGGGCGGCTTGGTGGGCAGCTGCTGGAGTGTGATGCTCCATGGGTCAGTCCTCTGTCCTTTTGCAGCCTAATGCTCCTGCTGCTACCTTTACCAATTTTGCCAGACCCCTTTTCCTTTTCCTCGTGTTTCATTTTTCTCCCCCCCCCCCCCCTCTTCTCCTATCAAATTGTCATTTCCTGCCGACCTTTTGCCTGTTTTGATTATTCTTTCGACCTACTTTTGTTTTGACGCCCGGGTGTTTGAGGAGGCATACTCTTGCACCCGTAGAACTGTAATACCCAACGTCTCGAGCGAGGGGCCCCTTTTATTGTCAATCTTCCTTTCGTCACTGAACCCGCTCTCGACGGACTCACGGTTCTTAAGGTGGCGTTTGTGGGGCATATACTCACGACGCACCCCTGAGGGGCCCCGGCAAGATCGGCGATAGCTTCTTGTTGGGTGTCCTGCCTCTAATTGTGGCTCCATGGTGGGTGTGGGGGCACATTCGTGAATGAAAGTTTTCCCTCGTTTTCATGGCTGATAATGTTTCCCTTGTACTTTCTCAGGCTCGTGGGGTGGGCGACCAAGCCCCCGAGTCGGACTGTGTTGGAAGACCAGGCCCTGTAGCCCTTGCTGCATTGGGCCCCGACGACCTGACTACTCCCCTCGGCTCCCCTCCCTCCTCTGCGGTTGGGTCGAGTCCCCAGCCCCCTGTGGTGACCATTCCCCTGGCACAGCTTCGTCCCTCATTGTGACTACTGCGCCTTATACCCCCATGAACTCCGGGGGTTCTCTACGCCGTTCCTGCCACGGCCGCACTCGCAAGATTCCTTCCCGTAATAGTATTTACAACGCCTTGTTTGGCCCCGCTACATGGGCTAAATACTTTGATCTCCACCATCTAGATTCTACTCCTCCTGACGATTTCTCCCTCCATAAACACCTTGTTGATTCAGTAGATGCCTCTGTTACTTTAACTCCAGTTATGGTACGCATGTCGTCGCTGCTCCTTCTCAGGATGCAGCTACTCGCTTAGCCACTTTGTCCTGCATTGGAGAGGCCCCTGTTCGGGTCTCCAAGAACGCTCGGTTAAATGCCAATGTTGGCACTGTTCTCTTCCCACACCATGTTGCAACTGGTGTTCGGGACCTCAAAGATTGCCATGAGGATATTAAACATATTCTCGAAGCCCAAGGCCATTCTGTCCTCCAGGTGGACACGTTTACTCGACCCCCTTGTGGTCGTCGCCGTCAGCCCCTTCGAGTTGTAAAAATCACCTTTGATAGTAGGGCCCTTCCGCCCTCTATTATTCTTGCTGTTGCCAGATGCTCCGTTCAGGAGTACATTCCCTCTCCTAGACTATGCAATAAGTGTTGGAAGTTCGGGCACGGTGTCCTCAAATGCCCCAGTACTGTGTATCTGTGCCCCTTGTGTGGGGACGATAGTCATTCTAAATCCGAGTGCACTTCTCCTCAGGCTCGCTGCCTCAATTGCGGTGAAGCCCACCCTACCTTCTCACGCTCGTGTATGCACTACAAACGCCAAGTTCGTCGTCTCGCCCCTTTCGCGGGCGTCTCCCACGCTCCCGCGTCTCCCACGCTCGCGTGTTGAGTTCTACCTCTCCTCGTCCTTCCCGTTTTCCTCAGTCTCGCAACCGTTTCCAGGCCTTAAACCCGACCACACCCACCACCTCCTCCCCTATTTCTTTGCTTTCTGTCCCAGATGGTCTCCCTCCCGGTTCTCCATCTGGGATTTCCCCCCTTCCTACCCAGTCCGCCATATCTCCTTTGTCTTCTTCCCCATCTCCCCCCACTCTTTCTTCCCAACCCTTCCCCCAGTCTCTTGACCCTCCACGCCACCTGTCTGTCCAGGCTGATATCCATCATCCTCCCAGCAATCTTCGTGTTGTTCGCTCTCGTTCCTCTTCTCCTGCTGAGACCATTGAGTCTGTCGCCCGATACGTTGTTACTGGAACACCTGTCTCTTCGAGTCAGAAACGTAAGCCTGGCTCCTCTCCTTCTTCCTCTCCGGCTGGTAAGAAGGTTTCGCTCGCCCCCTCCCTCTGACTCTGTCACTACATCCCCTCCCATTTCAGTAATCGAACCCCCTGTCTCTGATATGGAGGTTTCTTCCGCCCCCGATTCCCTCTGTTGCTGCCCTTCCTGAGGTGCACTCCCTGATCTCTGCCACCCCCCCCTCCTCCAACTGTCCTTGCCTTCCCCTCTCAGTTGTCTCCTCCTCCTCCTCCTCCAGACCGTCAGTCCGCCTCTGGTCTGTTCTCTCGCTCCCTTCCCTCTCTCCTTCCTAAGTTTACCCATGGCCCCCTAACCCTGATTTTGCCGACCCTGATCCTGATCCTGACCCTGATCCTGATCTTAACCCTGATCTTAACCCTGATCTTGACCCTGATCCTGAGATTCTTTGATAAACTATGTTCCTCTATACCTTTATTTCTTTCTTGTTCTCTGTTACTGTCCTTTCTCTTTGATAATGTCTATTCTTCAGTGAATATTCGTGGATTTTATGCCAACTTCCATGAACTCCAACTTCTAATTAAACAGTTTACACCACTTTGTGTTTGTCTCCAGGAACCAATGCTTGGTGCTCGTCCTGGTCACTTTCGTGGTTATTCCTTTCTTTCTCCCCCCCCCCTCCCCAGGCTCATAACTCTACTTCTCTCCTAATTCGTTCTGATATTCCCTTCGTCCCCCTACTTCTTCCGTGCCCTATCCATTGTTCTGCTGCCCGTGTTTTTGTGGGTAGATGGTATAGTCTGTTCCATTTATCTTCCTCCAAATGTCCCTCTTTCCCTTCCTGATCTTAACATTGGGCCCCGACGACCTGACTACTCCCCTCGGCTCCCCTCCCTCCTCTGCGGTTGGGTCGAGTCCCCAGCCCCCTGTGGTGACCATTCCCCTGGCACAGCTTCGTCCCTCATTGTGACTACTGCGCCTTATACCCCCATGAACTCCGGGGGTTCTCTACGCCGTTCCTGCCACGGCCGCACTCGCAAGATTCCTTCCCGTAATAGTATTTACAACGCCTTGTTTGGCCCCGCTACATGGGCTAAATACTTTGATCTCCACCATCTAGATTCTACTCCTCCTGACGATTTCTCCCTCCATAAACACCTTGTTGATTCAGTAGATGCCTCTGTTACTTTAACTCCAGTTATGGTACGCATGTCGTCGCTGCTCCTTCTCAGGATGCAGCTACTCGCTTAGCCACTTTGTCCTGCATTGGAGAGGCCCCTGTTCGGGTCTCCAAGAACGCTCGGTTAAATGCCAATGTTGGCACTGTTCTCTTCCCACACCATGTTGCAACTGGTGTTCGGGACCTCAAAGATTGCCATGAGGATATTAAACATATTCTCGAAGCCCAAGGCCATTCTGTCCTCCAGGTGGACACGTTTACTCGACCCCCTTGTGGTCGTCGCCGTCAGCCCCTTCGAGTTGTAAAAATCACCTTTGATAGTAGGGCCCTTCCGCCCTCTATTATTCTTGCTGTTGCCAGATGCTCCGTTCAGGAGTACATTCCCTCTCCTAGACTATGCAATAAGTGTTGGAAGTTCGGGCACGGTGTCCTCAAATGCCCCAGTACTGTGTATCTGTGCCCCTTGTGTGGGGACGATAGTCATTCTAAATCCGAGTGCACTTCTCCTCAGGCTCGCTGCCTCAATTGCGGTGAAGCCCACCCTACCTTCTCACGCTCGTGTATGCACTACAAACGCCAAGTTCGTCGTCTCGCCCCTTTCGCGGGCGTCTCCCACGCTCCCGCGTCTCCCACGCTCGCGTGTTGAGTTCTACCTCTCCTCGTCCTTCCCGTTTTCCTCAGTCTCGCAACCGTTTCCAGGCCTTAAACCCGACCACACCCACCACCTCCTCCCCTATTTCTTTGCTTTCTGTCCCAGATGGTCTCCCTCCCGGTTCTCCATCTGGGATTTCCCCCCTTCCTACCCAGTCCGCCATATCTCCTTTGTCTTCTTCCCCATCTCCCCCCACTCTTTCTTCCCAACCCTTCCCCCAGTCTCATGACCCTCCACGCCACCTGTCTGTCCAGGCTGATATCCATCATCCTCCCAGCAATCTTCGTGTTGTTCGCTCTCGTTCCTCTTCTCCTGCTGAGACCATTGAGTCTGTCGCCCGATACGTTGTTACTGGAACACCTGTCTCTTCGAGTCAGAAACGTAAGCCTGGCTCCTCTCCTTCTTCCTCTCCGGCTGGTAAGAAGGTTTCGCTCGCCCCCTCCCTCTGACTCTGTCACTACATCCCCTCCCATTTCAGTAATCGAACCCCCTGTCTCTGATATGGAGGTTTCTTCCGCCCCCGATTCCCTCTGTTGCTGCCCTTCCTGAGGTGCACTCCCTGATCTCTGCCACCCCCCCTCCTCCAACTGTCCTTGCCTTCCCCTCTCAGTTGTCTCCTCCTCCTCCTCCTCCAGACCGTCAGTCCGCCTCTGGTCTGTTCTCTCGCTCCCTTCCCTCTCTCCTTCCTAAGTTTACCCATGGCCCCCTAACCCTGATTTTGCCGACCCTGATCCTGATCCTGACCCTGATCCTGATCTTAACCCTGATCTTAACCCTGATCTTGACCCTGATCCTGAGATTCTTTGATAAACTATGTTCCTCTATACCTTTATTTCTTTCTTGTTCTCTGTTACTGTCCTTTCTCTTTGATAATGTCTATTCTTCAGTGGAATATTCGTGGATTTTATGCCAACTTCCATGAACTCCAACTTCTAATTAAACAGTTTACACCACTTTGTGTTTGTCTCCAGGAACCAATGCTTGGTGCTCGTCCTGGTCACTTTCGTGGTTATTCCTTTCTTTCTCCCCCCCCCCTCCCCAGGCTCATAACTCTACTTCTCTCCTAATTCGTTCTGATATTCCCTTCGTCCCCCTACTTCTTCCGTGCCCTATCCATTGTTCTGCTGCCCGTGTTTTTGTGGGTAGATGG